GTAAAAAAAAGTTTTGGTGCGGTTATACGCGCTCGTAACTGCATAAGGAGGTGTTTGAAAATTATTGCTTTTGAGTTTTCTTGAATTCCAGGCTGGTTTTACTCAGATTACTATTTCAGCAGATGTCCATCTTCGATACCTTCCCTCGCGACTTCTCATCACGTTGTTTGACTACCTGGTCTTTTTATGTCAAGTGTAACGTCTCTTTATTTTAGATATTAGGCCTAGTATGATGCGAAATCTTATTCGATTTTTGATTTGTTTTGTTTTGTTTTTTTAACTTTTGGGCACACCGTTGACACCCCCCCCCTGCTTTTCATCACCTTTTGATTTGTTTCGTTGATGGTGCACTGGATTGTGTTCTGTAGTCAAGGTTGGGTTTTGTTTTATTTTGTTTTGCCGTTGATGATTTTTTTTTCTCCTGGTTTATTTTGCTTTGCTTCGCATTTCCCGTCCTTTTTTAAAGTCTTGAGTCCCTGCGATTTGATTCTGCACCCTTCCAGATTGTATGCGTTTGTGTGTGTGTGTGTTTTTTGTGTGTGTGGTGTTTTTTTCCTATAGAGACCGTTTATTTTGACTCCTATAAATTATGTACTTATTCTTGCTTTTGATGTGCGAATACGTGGAATATTGTATATATATAGGAAAATATAGCTAACATAAGCTGAACAACAGTATGCCATGCAGCATCGGAAAAGGAACGGCCACAAACGATATTATGTCTATCTCATAACTGTTGTCCATATATAGGAGTACAACATAATAATGTTATCTTTCTTACCATATTGTGTATTGCCAGTCGTACCCGTGCAATACGTGCTTGCCTGTCTGTACACTTTTTTTGTATACACGTAACCGCCCTCCCGCCTGCCTTGACAGAGAGTTTACAGGGCGACGTTGTGGTTAGGGCTTCTTCAATACTTACCTCGTAGCCATGCGTGACGTCTCTATTGTATTCATGTACTGCTTTTCATATTGTAATTGTAAAGTCCCACAGAATATGTACTTTGTAAGACTTCGTTGTTAGGAATAGGAAAAGAGGACGGAATGGGTGAGGTCAGGGGGCAAAAGTGGGGTTGAGGTAAGGGGGAGGTATGTGTGTCTCTGTTTATATAACCGTGCAATATCAAAGGACCCTGGCGCTGAAATGTTTTTATATCTATATGAATGAAGGCATACCACAGCATAATATAAAGTTGAAATAAGAAAAGGACAGGCTCTGATATGGGAAATGGATGTAACGTTATATTTATGTAAATGTTTTTATATTTGATATAAATGAAAGCATACTCCAGCATATAAAGTTGTAGTGTTATACATATATTATATATGCCCTTAAAGCAGTTAGTCTCCATAGATGTGGCTTATGAGTATTATGAGAGTAGCTTGTTTTCGTTGAACCTCGGTTGGTGGATGATTAAAGAAATCGTGTGCAGTTCAATGAATAAAGGGAAAAGTAATTTGTTGCATCGCAAAACTCAGCGAAATGGCCGGGCAGCTGTGGGTTATCTTTGATATACGCTAAAGAAACGATTGATACACACCTATCGCTCATCTCATGATGATTGCAATAACTTGTCCGTCCTTTAAAATGATTATAATGCGTCGATGTTTACTTAATAAATCTAGTCAAATTATTATATTTCTGACCATTATTGGTTTGCTGCTGCATTTTGTGTTTGTTGCGGCACTGCTGCACGTTGGTACATACTAACATTCTACTACTTACTGAGTTGAAGGCATTTCGACCCGCACTTGCAGATAGGTTAAAAAGTGCGAGCCCTGCGCTCCCACCGCATGTGTGCAAATAAAACCTTTGGACATAACTAATTAATGCAATTTGGTTTTTTGTTTTTGTTTTGGATTTGTTTTGAATGTTAGATCGTAACCACTGACAGTCCGGTTTGGATCGATGTAAAAGTTGTGTTTCGTGTGTTCAGATATTTTAAAGGGAACAGGGGCATAATTATTCTAGAAGTTCTGCTTCTATACTTTAATCTTGACTAAATTGCCTTCCAGGAAGAAAGTATCATTAAATCATACAACTCACATTACTTATACGGTATGTTGATTTATTGGTATGGATGTACACGTATAGTTTAGTCAGAATTAATTATATTATTCTCAGTTAGTTTGAAAGATCTAATCGGTAAATGGCAACCTATTTTTTAGAAAAGATACCATGTTTATACATTATTCTCTCGCCAAATAGAGCGATGTAACTTCTACCAGTGGAACATAAATTTGTGGATAAGTTATTGAGCTAATTAAAACTGGTGAAGGCTTTTCCCTCATCCCTATCATTCCCTTTCTTTAATTTAACAGTAGCTCTCAGGAATGTAGATTTTAAATATTTTGTTTTTATTTGTAGTAATTTTCACGAGTTCGTTTTATTGTTATTGTTATTGTAATTATTATTA